ACCACCCCCCCGCCACATCAAACCATGACAGCAAGAGAAGGCATGCTCCTAGGGATAGTGTAGCGCTTTCAACTGGCTACCACCCTGAGGAAAATGGGCTATTTTCTTCAGCCTAGCTTTTGAGCCTATGTAACTGCCTTCAAGAGGCATTTCCCATGGGTGCAAAGCTATGCACAAGCAGAGGAAAACTGCTTAACGGTTTAAGTAAAGGGATATCTGTCAGAGCCCCAGTGAGACAGTGGGGAAAGTAAGAGAGCAGTTGAGGTATGAGAGCGGCCCAGCGCAGACCTGCTTTTACCAGTCACACAGGGAACTTGGTCCATGCGGCTCCTTCTTTTTTTTCAAAGCTCCTTCCCACGCCTCTCATTGATCACACTTGCAGACCACTGAGGAGACCTATGTGCTGTTTTGACAAACTGCTCACCTTTCATGCTGATCTGGAGCTTGCCCATCAGCTCCTTTTCTTTGAAGAAACTCTACCATCTCCTCATGGTGTTTGGAGAGAGCAAGATTCAGGGGAGTGTATCCCTCCTGAATGGATAAATAATCCCAGTTAGAAAAAGACAAGTTTGGTGCCTTTTGAAAGAGCAGCTTTACCAAAGTGCCAAGGTTACCTGGTTCTGAGCATCAATATTGGCATTATGCTCAAGTAACAGCCCCGCGACAGCTGTATTAGGAGATAGGACCGCCAGGTGCAGGGCAGTGTTGCCGTCAACATCTGCCAGGTTTGGGTCGGCACCATGCTCTAGCAGAATAGCCACACATTCTTCTTGTTGGCACTGTACTGCCTGGGAAGAACAGACAAGAAAGGAAACACTTTCAACATTTACGTTTCACTCGTCACAACTCGCCCAGCTTCTGAATGCTGGGAAAGAAGAGGATCTTTAAAGATGAGCTAACATATGCCTATTCCATACCAAATACACCACGCAGGTTTCTACCCAGGTCTGTGTAAAGAATCCTGCCAGACACTTCTCGTTTAATGTACAGTTGATAAGCCCCACTTCCAAGAGCTTAACGCATTCCACATACCTTCATCAGTGGCGATCTGTTGAAATTGTCAGCAAGGTTCAACTGGCACTTCGTTTGTATTAGAAATCTAACGACATCGGCGTGGCCGTTTGCACAAGCGAGGTGCAGAGGTGTCCTAAAAATCAAACGTATGAGCTTAACATAGACAATGAAAGAACCAAAGCTGTGTCACCACCCATCCCTGGGGACCCTGCCCAGAGTCTGCTCCTCCTGCTTGCTGCTGCAATCCTGCATGTCCCACAGCAGCACTTCGTTTGTATTAGAAATCTAACGACATCGGCGTGGCCGTTTGCACAAGCGAGGTGCAGAGGTGTCCTAAAAATCAAACGTATGAGCTTAACATAGACAATGAAAGAACCAAAGCTGTGTCACCACCCATCCCTGGGGACCCTGCCCAGAGTCTGCTCCTCCTGCTTGCTGCTGCAATCCTGCATGTCCCACAGCAACCCCTGCCCGAAGCAGCCACGGTGTCCCATCGGTGACCCACAACCCCTCACCGCTTCTCCTGGTCTCGCCTGTCGATGCCGCCTCTCTTCAGCCACCAGCGCCACCGCCTCAGCCGGGGCAGGTCGCCGTGAGCAGCCATGCGGTGCAGCCTGCCCAGGTCCTTCTCCTGGATCTCGTAGGCTGTGGTGGCAGTGGCGGCAGTGC